TCTAGTAGCTAGGGGTCATTGGACAAAATTCTACGTGCTCACGAACCAGGCTTTAGTATTATAATTATCTGTGGTAGTACATGAGAAATGATTGCACGAAACTTATTTTGAGAATCAAAATTGTCACATTATCGTTTAATTCGAAGTTTGAGTATTGAATTTGTCGAATACGCAACCGATTCGAAGACGAAAGTTGTTCATGCTAGAGCTTAGTACGTGACCTCCACTCCAGAACCGTGCTGCCCCATCGCCCGTCAGTTTTGCGCACTATGTGCCCTGCCCATTGCCACTTCAGCTTGCTAATCTGTCGGGCTGTGACAGTGACTTTAGTTCGTTTACGGATCTCCTCATTTCTGTATTGATCTTGTTTTGGATCTCGTAAAGAAACACCGAGCATAGCCCTTTCCATAGCACGCTGTGCAACATTGAGCTTCTTTATGAGGAGTAGGAGATAATAAAATAAATAAAAAATCTTTACTAATACCTACTAATAAGTATTATTAATGCGAAAGTAACTCTGTCTGTTTTGCTTTCACGCCTAAACCACCGAACCGATTTTGATGAAATTTTGCATAGAGATAGTTTGAGTCCCGAGAACGGACATAGGATAGTTTTTATCCCGGTTTGCATGGACCTATCCGGTCTGTGACAGAAAAATTCCACGAGGGCGAAGCTGCGAGCGGAAAGCGCTAGTTAAGTAGTCTGACTGGAGAATTCTGAGACTTCTTGGCGGGAAAGTCGTATTGTAATCATTTTTAGTAGTTTTGTGTACCTATAATCGAATTTATATTTTTTTTAATGGTGGAATAATAAACCACTGCATTGTGAACATAACACGAATATGCACTCAGGTGCACTTCAAGTCTCTGACAGGAAGCTTTGATCGTTTCCACAGATATGGATAGATGCAGCATGTGTCAAAAATTGTATGAAGCCGAGCGTGCCACTTTTTAAACGTCATTAGTGTCATTTTAGCGAATTTTAGTGATTGCCGCAACGTAAAAGTAATCGTATCATCGTACTGCATTCGAAAAGTCATCGAAAGATATCGTGTGACTCGAATCGAAAATTAATTAATTCCGATAAAACTGATATTTTGTTAAATTTATAGCTAGTCTGACTGTGGATTGAAATAATTTTGTAGCGGTAGACGTTATTCTACATCATTTATGCTCTTTGTTCTACATTATTAATTTTCTTATTAATTTGCAAATAATATTTTTGTTGTGCCTGATGTTTAAGAAAGTAATGATCGTTATTCCATTACGTTAAATAGTACTACTAGTAATTCATACCTACTTACCTAATCATAAATCATACTTTTAAATATTCTAGTACCTGACCTAGTTTCATAAAATAAAGACTAACTCAAGCTTTTTATATTTAATAAATGTAAAAATGCGTAGTTTTGCCAATACGTTTTCTTTCATAGTACCTAGTTTTGAAGATATTTCTAAACGACAAAATCCAGTGCCGTCGTATACATAGACTTATACTGCGATCCACAGATATGGATAGATGCAGCAAGTGTCAAAAATTGTATGAAGCCGAGCGTGCCACTTTTTAAACGTCATTAGTGTCATTTTAGCGAATTTTAGTGATTGCCGCAACGTAAAAGTAATCGTATCATCGTACTGCATTTTTTAAGTTTATTAAAATGTGTTTTTAGCAGTAATTTAAGGTTAATTTACATTATTAACGTATAAAATCTTTATATTTTTGCTAAATCTTAAAAGATATTCCAAAAAAAAATCACTTTTACTTACTTTTTTTTAATTTTTCAGAACCTCATAACTTGTGAACGGGCACTTTGGATGCGCGCTGATAGCGTAGGATTACAGTCAACAAGCCATAGAAGAAGGCTTAAGTAGTTTCAAAGCAAGATCTGTCAAGGCTTAGTCGAAATCGACCACTTTATGTTTAATTCCATACAACGAAAATGGAAAATATTTTTTTCCAGTCAAACTATTGGTTTTAGAGAAAAACTTGTGAAGCATTTATTCATCAGAATAACATAACCTATCGATAGGTATTTTTTTCAAACAGAAATTGTGAAAAAAATCGCTATGTCCATAAATCTCAATTTCGCTCCATAGTGAGACGCGTTTCTGATTCTGCAATACGATTGGTCAAAACAGCTGACGTACGCTGTTGAACGACCAATCGTATCGCAGAATCGAGAAGCGTGTCTGGATTGTTGACGTTAAAAATTACCGTAATCGGGGCTCTGGCCGTCATTGCGCCAGATAAATGTCATAGGGATGTGGTGTATTCAAAGAACTTTATGACAAGATCGATATACTCTAAATCGATATTAGTATATTCCAGTCTCGAATACTCGAATACTTGGCTACACACGTAACGATAGCCTGAATCTTTGGGTTATCGCGATGTGTAGTAGAACTACGTCCCGGGGAAATAGTAAGTATTATCTTCCTCTTTCGTTTGATGACAATCAAACCTGTGAGGGCAATGTCAACAATATAACATCTAAGGTGTTTTCTTTTAATTCTATTGTTTTTTGGATTCCGTAGAGACAAAGTATTCTTAAGGTTTTAAAGAATCCATCCATACTCCATCAGATCCAAATCGAGTTGTCACACGACAATCCGCTTAACACTTGATGTGCGCTCAAATTCCATTGAAGTGTTTATTTATGTATAAATAAACAAACATAAGTTTGATCACTTCGCTGGAAGAAAGAAAGAAAAATGTTTATTTAGTACCAAATAATAAATTTAGACTACAAAATAACAGCAGATACCATTATTAGAGCCATTTAAAATAATAATTTCTATTTCCGATCATCAACCCTCCATGGATTCGATTATGTAGTATAAAGTTCCGATAATCGAGTTTAAGTTCACATCCCTAAAATGTCATTAATGTCATATTTATACTCTCTAATCTGTGATATTTATTGATAAAGTTTCGAACGCCTCTGCTATCAATCGAGCAATTAATTTTTAATTTAATTCTTTAAATTACAATATTGATTCAATTTCCCAACTGCCAAAAGCTTCGGCAACTAAATAAGTCTTACACATATCAACAGTTGTAAAATTAGTGTGTATTTTGTAGTATTTGTAGAATGCTGTGAAGTGTGCGAGCGAATGAAGCGAATAAAGAAATATTTTCGTAAAATGAGTTCCCAATGTTTACCCGTGCCCACAATGGAAGAAGTAACTCAACCTCCGGACACTCAAATACAGTCCTTGCCAAATGAAATTGTATACAAAATATTGCTCTATTCTGATTGTCCTGATATTGTTTCATTTGGAGCTACATGTAAGCGTTTTTGGGAATTGATTGAAGACAATGAAATCCTTTGGAGAAAAAAAATCAAGTCTATGTAAGTTTATGATAATAATTTTGTTAAAAAGTTTGTTTTGTATGCCATAATCATTACATCTGTTAATTTTGTAGATTACCACCTGTAATGTATGATACAGTATACAAACATTGTAATGGTGAGTGGCTGAGTATGGTCAAAGGATTTCACAAAGTCAAGAAACTTATTTATGCTGAAATTTTAGCCATGTCACCTAAATTTTATTGGTAAGTAAAACATCAGTATTTTATTCCAAGAATATTTGTTCACTCCTAGCTTTTCTAATTAAAGCACGGTATTATATTATGTATGTTTAGTAAATTAGACTACAAAACATTCCCAAAAGGCGTTTCTTAAGTGTAAATTGCATTCACAAACTTGGAATTAATAATACTACTGTCAGTATAAAAAGTTTTTGTTATGAGGTGCTTTTTTAGTTAGTCAAACATAAAGGGTTGATATTACTACTCAAAGTAAAGGGAAAGTATTTGCCCTGCAAAAACAAATTCTCAAAAAAAATTCTCCCCATATTAGAGCACTGATCACTGATGAACTTCTAGTTGTATGAATAAGTTTTTTATTGAATATTTGAACTTCGGTCCTTTGGGAAAAGTTATTGCATTTGAGATGTAGTAACAATCCTTATTGCTTAATCGATTAATCAATAAAATAGCTATTTTTAATTAAATGCCAACTATGTTTTCAGGAAATGTAATGATGTCACGCTAGAAGACGTAGGTCCATTTTTCAATATTGCATTAAGTGACAATATGTCATATTATTATGTGATTTTTATATTGCAAGATTTAATTGCAAAAGGAAATGCGCAAATTGAAAAGAAGTGTCCTAAAAAGTAAGTGTTTATTTTTTACAAACTTTTACTTGCTTCAATAGTTTGAAATTTGAGACTCATGCATAAACCTAACAATGCAATGTTACATTGAGATGGACCTGGTGTTGGTAGCATAGCCGCCTCTGTCTAGAGTTCAACTCCTCAATGACTTACACTTACAGCACCTATATCTTGTCTGGGCTTTTTAGTTTTGTCTGTATATGGACTCATATAATTATGGACTAAAAGCTTGTTTATTAGAAGGTTTTTTTTACTATCAAGTAAGCTCAAGGCAACTGCAATATTACAATATTAGATTATATTTATAAGCCTAATTCAGCTGTTTTATTTTTTTAATTGTCCCACTGCACTAGAAATTGTCATCCTACAAATAAAATTTATTAATATTTTTTAGACCTTTTACCATGACCGAAATGTACTATGCAAAGGTGGTTCTGCGCTACTTGATCCATGCATTCCTTGCCTTAAAATGGGTAAGAGCACACAAGAGAAATGAGCTGCTTCCGGAAATTGTTGTAAATTTCTTCCTACAGTGGATAGATACTGTAAACCTGTATTCAGATACAGAAATGGAAAAGAGTGTAAGTGTATTATTAATTTACAGCTTTTAAAATTGTACCTTATAATATAGGCAGACACAGCAAATTCATCTAGTATTCTAGCTAAGGTGATGTGCTGACATCTGAAACATATAAAACAACTAAGTAACCTGTTAATAATATAATTTTTTATAACAATAAAAAATATTAGTGTTAAGAACAATTTTAAAATTCCTTTAATGTGTATTTTTATATTTTTACAGTTAAGTGATTTGGCTGATAAAGTCAAAGTTATAATTAACAGACAAAAACCTGAACTGGCAACCAAAACTATTGAAGAGTGTTGCTCTCAACAATTAGTTGATGAGAAAATAGTATTCAAAGCTATTGCTATGGCGATTTACCAGATACCGCACATGGCTATAACAAATACCACTAGCTTGGACACCCTAAACATTGTGAAGGTGAAGTTATCTTCCAGAAATTTAATTTTTCCATACAAACATTTTTGCGACTTTTAGTGAACCACAATAATTAATTAACCTTCATAATATTTTGTAACGAAAACAGACCCCACTTAAGACGAGCTGTTTTTGACGATTTTTTTCTAGTAATTAAATATATACAAAGTTTAAAGTAAAAAATAATAATGGGCAAAGCTATTGTATTAAAGGAATTGTGCTACTGAACTGAATATTGTAGAAAAATCAGCAACTTCCTACTTTCCCCTATTTAAACGGATCTGTTATTTAATTACAGGTTTTGAAGCTAAGGTGTTCCGACCTAATTATTGTTGGTATTATATATCAATCCGTGGCGAAGCGTTTCGGTGTGCACAGCGAGTTGATCTCGTTCCCATACCACTTGTTCTTAGAGTGGGTGGACACCACAGACGTGACGCGCCCGCTCGTCTACACCATTGACTTGGACACGGGGGATATGAAACCGAAGCGACGTTGCCCCTTCTCTGGCACTCAAACCAGCAAACTGAATAAGTACTGCCCGGATTCATTGCTGAAATACATATACACGGCATTCCAAGTCACCATGGGAGCTATCAAAAACTGGTAACATTTTGTATACTATTTCACATACTATTCAGTCTCAAAGTCGTCTTAAACCTCTGAAAGCCAATGTCATGACTTCTTATTTTAAGCAATTATTTATTTTATAAAACACATGACAAATTACAATTTTCAAAAAAATTATACACGTAAATTATATTTACAGGAATACACAAAATGCTGTGTTCCTGTTAGACTTTGTGGGAAACAGCAACAACCAAATAAACCGTTACAGAAACTTTCTTCCTTACCTCTTCGATTATATGGATGATCATGCTTTGGAGACGCCGCTTGATATTACTTACGTAAGTTTTATAACAACAAATCATTATAGTATCGAGTGAAGTACTATATCCAACATAATTATTTACATAATGTGGCTCATTCAAAATACTATTTGAACTAGATGTTAGTCGTCCTCAAAACGTCTAATTTAAAAGAATCCTACTAAGTCTGATGGCATAATATTTTTTTACGAAAACTCAAGTCAAGTTTGTGATTTATCTATACTTATAATAAATCTGTAGAGAGGTCAATTCTGTACATGAAATATATTTTCAAAATAACTATCAGGGGGTGATTAGTGATCGATACTGATGCCAAAAATGCAATCAGTAAAATTTTTGTCTGTCTGTCTGTATGTTCCTTATAGAAACAAAAACTACTTGACGGATTTTAACGAAACTTGGTACAATTATTCTTCGTACTCCTGGGCAGGTTATAGGATACTTAGGAATTCCCACGGGCACGGGAATTAGCGGGAAAATCCTTTTGTATGAAAAATCTAAACTGCTTAAGTTAGACGCTTGAAATTTGGCATGCAGGTACCTTAGTAAACTTAAAGCTTAGTTACAACAGGATATTACAATATTCCCACGGGAACGGGAGTTAGCGGGAAAAAACATTTGTATGAAAATTCTAAACTGTTTAAGTTAGACGCTTGAAATTTGGCATGCAGGTACCTTAGTAAACTCAAAGCTTAGTTACAACAGGATATTGCAAAATTCCCACGGGAACGGGAGTTAGCGGGAAAAAACATTTGTATGAAAAAATCTAAACCGCGTAAGATAGATGAAGGGGGTAAAACGGGATCCACGCGTACGAAGTCGCGGGCGGCCGCTAGTTATAAATAATAAGACTAATTATAGCGTCATGAGATGTAGTTTTTTGATGAACTTTGACGCGAAGATTGTTCGTACATACCTGCTACATGTGATGCTCCAATCATACTATTTCAGTGATTGGAAATAGGTATTTCTAATTGATTTCCAGAGACAGTCTGATTTTTTGCAGATGATAGAATTAATTAAAATTCTTTATTATTCATGTTCCTAATGTTTCTGTTTGTTCATTTCAGCTGGATTATTCACACATGGAACTCATCAAAACGATAGCTTACTTAGACCCGCCTCTTGAACCTTTCTATACCAAAGAGGTAAATTATGTCAATACTTGTTTGTTGTAATCCTTTTATTTAAAAATTATTTTAACAGACTTTTAGTGCATGCTTCGTATATTCTAGTATAAAAGTAGCTTTATTATTAGTTTTTTTTTCTTTTTAGGTGGTGGCAAAAGGTCACGCCAGTAACGTAAAATACGCAGTGGGAATGATTTGTTATCATAAGAAATTAGAATATGTGGGCATCATTCGAGACTGGGACTTGAGATGCAATCCGAAGTTGGCCAAACGCACAGAATCTGAATTAAATTTGGAATACAGTAAGGACCAACCATTCTACTATCTTGTGGCAGCGGACCAGTCCGCCCGATATGTTGCTCAAGGTACTTAAAAATTATTTTTTTTTATTTTATCACACCATTTATTTACCTACATCTCATATTAAACAGTACTTGTAAAATGCATAATTACTTGATGACTTCTTTAATGACGACTTCATGATTCGAAACATGCTTGTCTCAAGACTAAGTTTTCAGTCAACAGATAACTACTTGGACGCCTGCTTGACTATTCAGCATGACATTACTTACGCTTTACTAAAAATGCCATTTTCCCCCCACTAAAATTACGCATACATTCGCTAATTTTCGCCGCTACTTAAAGGGTGCTTAATTGAATAATATTGTGTGCAGGGGCCGCCCTCAATTCATAAACGCTTTGTCATATGCATTTCGCGTAAATTCCCAAACACACTAAATAATAAATTAACCTATTACCATGCTTATTAAAATAATATTAATATACTAATACTGCACGTTAGTTATGGTTGTGTCAAACTTTACAGAAAACCTTGTTGAAATAATACATCCTACCCGACTATACCACTTGGAAGATGCCGTTGCACGAGAGTTCTCTCACTTTGACGGCTTCTGTTACGTGCCAAATGACGAAAAGAAGGCTGAATATCCTGATGAAGCACCAATCGCAGCTCTGTACCGCAATCGTTCTTATTATAGGCAATAAATATCGCTGTAATTTTTTCATGTACTATTTTCCGTCATTGATATTTATGCAAAATAGTGATTGATTGTATTACTGTGAGATAAATATTTATTTATCCAAAATTTGCCACTCTTGTGGCGGAGTTTTGGGCTGACACTGTAGGTTTGTTGTCGACACGAAAAAAAAAAAAGAAGATCCAAAATTTAACTCATTATGCAGTAGTTATGTAAAACTTATACCTACCACAGTAGGTACCTACGCACATCGTACAGAAAAACGTAGTGTTGATGTTTTCTTTCGTAAAATAACTTATAATATTCAGTCATAATCAATAATTATAATTGTTTTAGACGCATTTATCCGCAAAAATATGTACTTCCAGAATTTTATTCATAAAAGATAAGTTTAATCTTGAAAATTAACTAATTTATGATGTACTTATCGTTTTCACTTTAATTTTATTTATTAGTAATGGTTTTTCCCCAGTGATTATCTTACACAATCTCAGCTTGCCTACTTGTTTAGACATGTTACACATTTCGTGTAGGTATGTAGATTCCGTAATGGTTACACATTTGCTGTACTTATTGATAGTCGTATTTTAAAAACAATAAATTAATATTGTGTAGCAGGTAACTATATTGACCTGTCCATCTATGTTCTTAGACAAATAAAAAACCATAGTATGCTGTTTATAGGATTGTGGGAAATATTTATCACAATTAATTGTATGTAATATTCAACTGCTCATAATTTGTAGTGAGGCACTATTTTGTATCAAAATTACGTAAAATACATATAACTATCCAGGGTTCGAAATTATCAAGATAATTACGCTTCATGATAATTATCAACAGTATATGATACTTTATTTTTTATTTTAGACCATTGAATTTTTATTAGGTATGAATGATACATTTGTCATATTGTTTCATAAGAAATTATGATTGCGAATTTTGCTTTATGTTTTTGGTTGCCGATTGTTGTCAAGTTATCCATCGCTAGTCGCGTAAAGCTTGGAAAATAGATAAATATTTTGCTAGTGATCATTGTGGAGCTAAATAGATAAGTTTTATAACTTATCTATGGTACCTAATTAACGCTCATCACTAGACGCATGTGCGACACGTTCGAAAACTTCGAATACTGCCCCCTTAGACAAAACGCACTTTTTGATCGAATCCGTCAAAACTCCATACAAAAAAGGGGCTTTTCGACCACTTTTCGACTGGTTTGCGATTATAATTTGCACTTTGTCTAGACCCACAGGGTATTTTCACGAGCGCATTTTTTGTTATTCTCAACTGGTATTCATCTGTTATTATCACGATAATTATAGTGATAATTATCCTTTCGAACCCTATATATCTATATTCTTGACGATTATAATAATATCCGTACCATTTTTCAATACATTTATACCTATGTTTTCCAGATACTTGTTTCACTTTTATAATGTACCGAACTTTTATTTCATAGGATTAAATGTACCTAAGTACGGGGAATATGTATGTATGTGTAATAGGAATTAATGTTTCCTTCCATGTGATAGATGTGATATAATTTATTCTTAAGTCCTAACCCAACGGTCCACTTATGGACCGCTGGTTTGGGAAATTCGGCCTGAGTATTGTATCTGTAACTGTGTAAGATACTTGGATATTAAAAATAAAACACTATAAAATCATTCAATTTGTTTATTTTTTTGCTGTGCTCAGTGGTTGCTGACAATTTTAGAAACAAGTTTTTATAGGTCAATCATTTACACATTAAGTTTCTTCCATAGTCATCATTTTTATCGCAATGGCACTTCTAATGATCGGCCTTCAATACTAGAGATACTTAAGTATCAGTTACCTCTAGTGATTATTTTTATAGAAAAAAAATGTTAAGTACACAAAAAATTATAATGACAAAAATAGATAGGTTTGCATATACATTTATCAAGATTAAGGTAACCCCTATACCAGTATGACCTCGTTAGCAAAATTTCTGAGGTAATTGGTTTTACCTAAATCAAAACAAAATCAATACATAACTAGAAATTCTTTTATTAAATATAAATCACAAAATATTTTAGCGTGTATGGCGAAAGTGGATATTGTCATTATTTACCAAGTGATAAAGCAAGGAATGATTTGTCATTTAAAAATACCAGTGCAAACAAAAATAAAGCTTCATTACTGCGTAAGCCGACAAGCAAAACTATTTTTATTTCATTGTTATGGGAATGATTTGTGTTGGCTATAAATATTTTCCTACATTGTAAAAAAGGATTATTTTTATACAATTATGTTGCTACTTAAAATGCTGTGGTAAGGACTAAATTACTAGTAAGTCATGTTTACTTTCATGGCATGAAAATAAGTACAGTAAGTTAGAAAAGTCCCATCAGAAAGAAAACAAAAGGTGCGACACTAAAGTCTGAAAAGTGAAAATGCATGAGACGCCATGATACATTCTAATAAACTTACGGATTTTGTTAATGTTTAACTAAGAAATGAACATTAAAGATCTGTAAATGATCTATCAAAATAATTTATTAGAACATCACTCTATTTGAAACGTGACAATTAAATAACTTTTGAAAATAATTAATACTTCTAATAATTGTTGGTAGGTACCCTATCACCTGTTTTTGAAACATTCATGATGAAGGATAACTTGTTATCTTAGTCGTTCCAACACTGATATAAAAAATAAATGTGATTACAATTATGACTAAATATACAGTGTGTGTAACTAGCAATATTCTGGAGACGTAGCTGCGTAGGTATGAATCAACTGAACTCACTTTTTTTTAATCTATAAGAATCATCAGATTCTGTATTTTTGAACAATAGAATCTTCGAAAGTGGCAGTTCAGTAAGAAATAATTTGAATTCAAAATCCGTAAACCTTATTGAAGAATATTACTATAAAACTTGTTTAAAAAATGCTTGCTCCGTATGTTTTTAAAATATTATTAACAGAGTGTATTTTAATTTATATTAAAAAGAGAACACTTGATTTTCCATCTCATTGTTGGTCTTAAAGTAAACTTTTTTGTGAATTAAAAACGTTTCTAGAATAAAGCTAGTCATCACCTAAACACTTTTAACACTATTCTGCTAAACAAAATAATTGGCAGCAAAGTAATAATAATAATTAATTAATCATCGCATTACACGTCATTAAAATTGTTAATAGGTATAGTTAAAATATGTACCTACATAACTCGTCCGCAGAGTTCGAGATCAAAGATGCGAGCGACGACAAGTAGAACACAAAAATTCATATAGAGGGAGATTTATTTGATTGAGCAGTTTACCTACTCTAAAACTCACTCAAAGTTAAAAAGCGACCTTACCATTACTACATAAGTGTTTCAATGTTTCAATCACTAAAAATTTACAGATTTTGAAACATGTTAAAAATAAGCAAAACTATTAATAAAGTTGGAACTTTAACTCGCTTTCATTGAGTACAGTTGACATTTGGATCACGTTTGGTTATATTAAGAAGGTTTTTTTTAAATTAATTTAGCTGTCTAACTGTATGTTAGTGACTGGGCTACTCCATTGACAGTCTTTGATTTAAGGACCCCATTTTCGTAAGACATCACAGTCTCACGACCGTTTTCCGTGACTCTGAAAATAAAAACAAATCACAATTAATCCATTGTTAAATTAATTGTAAAATCAAATATTACAAGTTTTACACAATCCTTGATGCCGATTAACGCTCAAACACGCAGGTTGTAATAGAATAGTTTCATAAGGTTACCCATAGTTCGCGCCGTAGATATTTAATTTTAAATGAAGTGTATCCAAAAATCTCAATTTGCTGATGCAAATCTTCGATAAGTTGAAATTCTTAGAAATATAGAATTTATATTAATATCCGTTTCGACATCAAGGATGGTGAGTAGTTTATTCAATGCCCTATATCTATGTATCAACTTGCCAAAGCAAGCAATGATGGCAACCGTACACAAACATCTAATTACTAAACCCCTGACCACAGCTGAGACCAATGCTTGATGGGTAACTAATAGCAATCAATGCCCACATTACCGACGCTCGGTGCCCACGCTTGGTGACTAATACTAGTAGACCCTGTCATACGACGACAGTCGCCCATGTGTTTACCAAATAGAAAAGCATTTTATATGAATCATAAGACTTGAACAAACATGCCGCGTAATGGTTTGCCAAATAAAAAACAGATTAACATTCTCCTCATTTTAAGGTGAAAGTAAGTTTAGCGTAATGCCTAAATGAATCTTCTGGCAACTTTTACCGCGACAATCAGGTGTAGATCCAATCCTTAAAATACGTTGTGGTCACACCACAGCCACCCCCGAATTGGAATGCAATCACTTATCTAAATTTTATTTTAGCTATGTATGACGTCACAACGTCATAGTACCAGAGTGCCTACTATAATAGTGGATCCGTGCTTGGACACGATTTCCCGAGTTTTTTTTTATATTTTATTAAGGCATCGGATATCATCAAAATCGATCTCAACAGACTCAAGTGTGACGTCAAGTCAATTTTAATTTTGAGCATGTCTAAGTGCTTGTTCACGTAGGCACGCGCGGGCGCGGGCGCGGACGCGGGCGCGGGTAACGTCGCGAGCTCGTGTTCATATTGACGACCAGGCGTTCGCGCGATTGTGACGTATTGTCAGAGGTCGAATTATGGACGACGATCTTTTATTTTTAACCGAAAATTCATACCTAAAGTGGGAGATGCTAAAAATTAGAATTGGTGTGCACGAGATTAATAAAGAAAGAGAACGGTATGGTGAATTTCATACTTTATATCGTAATTTGAGAGAACATCCTTCAAGGTTTTTTGGATATACCAGGATGAGTGTCAACTGTTTTGATTACATACTGGATTCAATAAGGAGTGATATTTCAAAAGTAGACACAAATTTTCATAAAAGTATAAAGCCCGAAGAAAGACTATTGTAACTATAAGGTGAGTTTAAAAAAAAGATTTTCTTAGTAAATAATTTATAATTTTCAATCAAAATCAAATTCAAACAAGGTTCCTCTTTATTATTTAATTTAATTAATATTATCGTTATCAACTAAACAACATTTCTGTTCATATGATGACTGTGTTTACTTTGCCAAATAGGAGTTCTAGCCTGAATAGCACTAATAAACTCTTCTGTATTGAACGACATGATAAAAACGTGCTATCGTTTCTAGCGACAAGATCAAACTGGTTGAACTTACCTGACGTCGTGAGTGAAACGCGCGCGCCGCCGCTAGTTTGACATGAACACACACAAACATCTTCACGCGTTGAAATTACCGCGAGCGCTCCGCGCGCGCCAGTCGCTAGCTTGCCCGCTAGTTAGACCGCACGTGCGTTTCGTACGTGAACACTTGGAATCACTACATATGTTTGATATTTCGTCACCGCGCCCGCGCCCGCGCCCGCGAGTCAACGTGTGCAAGCACTAAGGTGGCCACAATAGTGAATGCCGCGCCAGACTACGACGGCAATGCATTCATTAAATATCGTTAGGTGTGTAACCCTGGGCCAAACACATCACAATAACGCAACGAAACAGATTTGACAACGGAACGAGTACGACTATACAAAAAAGCACCGAAGTATACGCGAATACTTGGCTACACATATCGCGATCTTGGCGTTAAAGTCGCGTTTGGTGTAGTGGTTCGAAATGGACTCCTATGCCAAGAGATCGCGGGTTCGATTCCCGCTCAGTACAAACATATTTGTTTGTATTGAAACGGGCGTTTTCTATGTTATAATATGTATGTATTTATTTACAAAAAAGTATTTAAGTATGTTTATATCCGTTGTCTAGTACCCATAGTACAAGCTTTGCTTAGTTTGGAACTAGAGGCACAGTGTAAAAATGTCCAAGATATTTATTTTGTTTATTTAGGTATTATTATTTTATGTGTATGGTCCATTGGCTAGAAACACTGAAAGAAAGTCCGTCAACAAACCACTTACTTTTTGGTAGTAATCTTCTTCCCGTTGACAATGCGCGTATGTATTTTTATTTACAAAAAAAGTATTTAAGTATGTTTATATCCGTTGTCTAGTACCCATAGTACAAGCTTTGCTTAGTTTGGAACTAGAGGCACAGTGTAAAAATGTCCAAGGATATTTATTTTATTTATTTATTATTATTTTATGTGTATGACCCAGGGGCTAGAAACACTGAAAGTCCGTCAACAAACCACTTACTTTTTGGTAGTAATCTTCTTCCCGTTGACAATGCGCGTATGTATTTATTTACAAAAAAAGTATTTAAGTATGTTTATATCCGTTGTCTAGTACCCATAGTACAAGCTTTGCTTAGTTTGGAACTAGAGGCACAGTGTAAAAATGTCCAAGGATATTTATTTTGTTTATTTAGGTATTATTATTTTATGTGTATGGTCCATTGGCTAGAAACACTGAAAGAAAGTCCGTCAACAAACCACTTACTTTTTGGTAGTAATCTTCTTCCCGTTGACAATGCGCGTGGTGGTCGTGGTGCTCCGCATGTTGGCGCTGCCGGGCCCGGCCAGCGAGCTGTTGAAGGTGGAGAAGGACGTGAAGGTGTTCCCGTTGGAGGCGGCGTGCGCGAAGATGTCGTCCAGCCCGCCCATGCCGAAGCCGAAGGGGCTGAACAGCGACGACGTCAGCGACGTGCCCGCGTGCTGCGCGCGCCGCCCGTGCCGGTGGTGGCCGTGCCCGTTGATTTCTGAACGGGATAGGGGAAAACCTGAATATTTTAACATGATTTAAAACTTGAAAGTGACAACCGCCTCGGAAATTGGTTCAAGCTTGGCGACTCTGACCCAGTGTTGCCAACTTAGCTACTTTATAGCTAGATTTAGCAACTGATTGATGTCAGGCAGCTACAATTTTTTTTAACTTGTAGCTAAACTTTTTAGCTACTTTTTCTAGCAACTATTGATTATGATATATTTTTACAAAGCTATGGTAGCGGCATACCCGACAAACAAAATTAGTATTAGCAATTACGATTCGACTCACTTAAA